GCCACAGATCCACTTCAGGTTTTGAGTGGTTAGGCATAGGAAATCTCATGAGGATTTTCCTGCCTGGCCTGGCTTTGAACCATGAACCTCAGATCTCAGCCTCTTGAGTAGCTGGGATGGTAGACGTAAGTCACTGGCCCCAGGTGACATATATAAGTTTACGAATGTGTTGATACATCTATATGAACACGTCCACACATGCATACACACATACACTCATGCGTATGTGCATCTGCATACGCACAGGTGTGTGCACGTGCACACACACACACATACACACACACACACACACACACACGAGATGCATCTGGGAGCGACGGGACGCCTAATCTGTCTTCATCGCGAAGGTCAGCGGCTGTCTGGGGCAAGTGTCTGAATGGTTCCTCCACTGACCCCTGACCTGCGTGACCCTGGGGGAGGAGGCCCTCACCCGGGTCATGGACTAATCCTTCTGCGACTCGCACAGTGTGAATGGCCGCTCCTCCTAGAACCGCTGGAGAAACGCATCGTGGTTAGTACTCCGGTGAGTCAACACTCGGGTGCTTTGCGCATCCTTTCCTTTAACTCGTGTCTATGGTGCCATTTGCAGCTGCATTCGGATCCTGTGTTTTGTGTTTACAAAGCCCTAGGTGGTCAGTGTGAAGCTTCGGTACCTTTGAATGTGTTCCTCATGATCACGGAATGGGATCATCTCAAATACTGGTCACTCCTCAGTGCCGAAAACATCCCTCATTTGGCGTCAGAGAATCTCATGGACTTTCCTCGTCTCTAACACAGCCACAGAGAAACAACAAAGTGAGGTTGTAGTTCAGAGGGCTCAAAGATGCTTCCTCCCTCTCTCATTCTCCTGAACTCACTCTGAAGCATAGATGTCTGTCCCCACCCTGTACAATCTGTATAACCTCAAGTCTTTGTTGAGCTTCTTCAGACTCCCGTCAGAAACGACCACATCTAGAACAGCAGAAAACTCAAGTGTGTGTGTGTGTGTGTGTGTGTGTGTGTGTGTGTGTGTGTGGTGGTGCTGGGTTTTGATCTCAGGGCCTTGTGCTGTCCTTTGACCTTGTGCTCAAGGCTGGATCTCTACCATGTGAGCCACACTTTCCATTGCAGTAGTATTATTGCACTTTACATTTTATTTCCAGTTATTCACCATGTGGCAGATTTCTCATTTAATTGGTTTTTACATTTTAAAAAATTGCTGTCATACAGGTGATGCATAGAAGAATGAAAATTACATAGGTCGGTTCAGGAGTACATTAGTTTTTGGACAACGTCGCCCATCTTTGTTGTGGTGGTGGTGGTTCCGGTTCTGGGGCTTGAATTCAGGACCTGGCGCTGTCCCTGAGCTCTTTTGCTCAAGGCTAGCGCTCTACCGCTTGAGCCACAGCGCCACTTCCAGGATTTTTGCTGGTTTACTGGAGATAAGAGTCTCGGTGACTTTCCTGCCTGGACTGTCCTTGAACTTCAATCTTGAAATCTCAGCCTCCTGAGTAGCTGGGATTTCAGGGGTGGGCGCTGGGTGCCTGGTAATGACTTATTTACCTACACTCAGCAAAAGAGGAGCAATAGGAAATTAGAAGATATAAATATTCAGAGGGGCAGAACTCTGCTCATAGCATTTTTATTCCGATTGTGTGATCCAAGAGACACACGCGAACATCAGCGTCTTCCCACCGCAGGACAGCATCTCAACTAAACCATGTTTTACCCATGAAAGGTTACCATCTTGAACTTTAACCTAGCACGTTTTCTACCCGCACTGAACCCGCCATTTTCTCACATAAAGAAAAAGATTTTGAAGAACAATCATCATAAGCAATGCGCCTGTTTTCAGTCATATGTGCACAATACATTCCATTGAAGGCACTGGGCTTGTTCTTCAACCTGAAGAGGAAAAGCAGGAAAGTACTTAAGAGCTCACATATTTGAAGTAGACACACACACATGACCTGTGCTTCCTGACAGTATGGTGCCCACAGTCCGCATTTCCTAAGGAAAATAAGATCCTTGGTGGTGCAGGGGATTTCCCTTCAGCCTGTCAGGCTCTGACGCCATGCATGCGGATCATCTCACCCCTCATCCTTCCCCCCATGTCCCCCCTCCTCTCACATTCTCTGTTTCCATTTTCACAGATGGACGTTGACTCTTAGGATGGCGTCGTCCTGAGCTTCTGTGTTACTCAGGGAACTGAGACCTGAGGACCTGGGTTCAAAGTCACCCAGGCAGGAGAGGCCATGAGACTTTTACATCTAATGAAATCAAGCCAAGAAGTCAGACGTGGCGCTGTGGCTCCCGAGGTAGAGCGCTAGCCTGGAGATAAAAAGCCCAGGACAGCACCAGGCCCTGCGGCCAAGCCCCGAGAAAGCCATAGAAAGAAAAGAAAGTCGGCCTGATGACTTGACAAAATCAGGGCGTCTGTGATTGCTATGTGTGCATTTGTACTGGGTGTTGAAGTTGGGGCCTGGACACTAGAGCAGGACTTTTGCTGAAGGCTAGGGCTCTACCACTTGAGCCTCGGCTCCACTTGTAGCATTTTTGTGGTAGTTAATTGGAGATGAGTGTCTCATGGACTTTTATATCACTTCTGGTTTGAACCGTAATCCTCAGATCTCAGCTTCCTGAGTAGCTGGGATTCCAGGCGTGACCACCAGCCCCTGGCTATGGGAACATTTTATGCATGATTAAAACTAATACAGAAGCCTGACCCAGCAGGTGCGTGTAAGGGTATGTCACCAGTCTACAGTCGTCTTGAGGAAAACACAGCTTAAAAATGGATTTAAAACAATAAGAGAAAAAATAGAAACTTACCAAATAGAAGAAGCAACACTCTGATCCACTGTCATAGAGTTTGTGCTATCTTGTGTAGGAGATGCTCCAAGCCAATAGCCAAATAATTGTATGGATTTTACAAACTCCTAAGAAACAAAGATGCTCTGTGTACAAAGTTTTCTCTGGCTGGTACCAGTGACTCACACCTATAATTCTAGCTCCTCTGGAGTCTGAGATCTGAGCATCTCGATTCAAAGCTAGCCAGGGTGGGAAATCCATGAGACTCTTATCTCCGGGAACCACCAAAAACCACACACAAACCAGAAGTGGAGCTGTGGCGTGTATATGTGTGTCTGTGTGTGTCTATGTGTCTGTGTGTCTGTGTGTGTGTGTGTGTGTGTGTCTATGTGTCTGTGTGTGTGTGTGTGTGTGTGTGTGTGTGTATGTGTGTGTGTATGTGTGTGCTCACGTGGTACTCAAGGCTCTGGGTTCAATTCCCAGGTCTGGTATATAAAAAGAAGAAAGGAAGGAAGGAAGTAATAGGAAGGAAGGAAGGAATCAAAAAGAAAGAAAGAAAGACAGAGAAAGGAAGGAAGAAAGAAGGAAAGGAAGGAAGAAAGTAGGAAGGAAAGCAAAGCAATGCACTGAAGTCAGAACAGGTCATTTTGTAAGCCATAGAACTCATAGTTTGTTCTCATTTCTCACTGAACTATATTTTGTGGAGTCAGTAGCTGTCAGTGAACCAGGTGAGCAAGATCCAACGAGAAAGACACAACACATTGTTTCCCTCCTTCTAGAAAGAATGAGAGAACTTTTCACTCCTGGATCTTGAACTCAGGGCCTGAGCGCTGTCCCTGAGCTTCTTTTTCTCAAGGCTGGTGCTCTACCACGTGAGCCACAGCACCATCTCCAGTTTTCTGGTGGTTCATTGGGAATCAGAGTCTCATGGACTTTCTGCACAGGATGCTCTGAATCTCAGTCCTTGGATCTCAGCCTCCTGGGTAGATGGATGACAGGCGTGAGCCACCAGCGCTTAGCAGACTCTTCTTACTCTGTCATAGGAAATGCGATTTCCTTTCTTACGGGAGGAGAGACTTGGAGACCTACCAGTGTATCCTTGTTGTTAATCTTCAGCAGGCTGGCATTGAGGTTAGCACAGAACTGTTCACTCTTTTGCCATGTGTCATAAATGTAATACAGAAGATAACATCTATTTGCGTGCCACAGCCAGTTTGGTGGACAAGGTTTACATTTGTGCCCTGGAAGGAAAGCGTCCTTTTATTGAATAGATCTTCAGCCTCTTGCCATTTCCTGTCATCTCTATGGGACATGGACCAAGTTCACTGTGTTTTCATCTGTTAATATTTAAGTTTGTTTTGAACCAGTTCTGGGGCTTGAACTCAGGATCTCCTGCTCTTCTTTACCTTTTCCACTCAAAGCTGATCCTCTACCATTAGAACCACAACTCCACTTCTGGATTTTGGCTGGTTCACTGGAGAGAAGAGTTTCACAGACTTTCCTGCATGGTTGGCTTTGAACCATGATCCTCAGAACTCAGCCTCTTCAGTAGCTTAGGATGACAGGCGTGAGCCACCAGAGCCCGGCTTTTACTGGCTGAAATTCTGAACTGAGGCCATCTGTAGAGAAGTGTGTTTTCCTATCTATCATTCACTGAGCTTCATAATAAATTGAGACTTTGCATAACCTTGAAAATAACAATGCAAAAATTTAATTGGTAAATTCAGATGAGAGAAATTGTATATTTATGCTTTAGTAAAACTGGAGTTTAAAGAAAACGCAGTTAGTCCGAATGTTCTTGTATAACCAGGACACCTGGGGGACTCCATGGTGTGTGGTTATGATTTTCTGATTTTCTTCTAACTATGTGGAACTGTCGATGCATGGACTATGCTTCATTCCTTTCTTACTCAGTGGTTCTAGCTGGGCAGCGGTGATACACGCTGTAATCCCAGCTGCTCAGGAGGCTGACATCTGAGGATTAGGGGTTGAAGCCAGCCTGGGCAGGAAAATCCATGAGACTCGTATCCTATATTATGAAGCCAAAGCCAGACATGGTGCTGTGGCTCAACTGACTAAGCTCCATGCAGCCAAGAGCAAAAAAGCCAAGGGACACAGCCCAGGCCCCGAGTTCAAGCCCCAGGATCCCCCCCCACACACGGTAGCTTTAGTTCCTGGTCTCATACGCAGCCCTCGGGGTAGTACAGAATTACCTGGCTCTTTTTCCTGTAGCTCCTGACACAGCCTGGTGGCCAGGGTTTGCACGGTGATAGAGAGGTTCTGGATCTTCTCAAAACTGTTGACAATCCCCATTTGCTGTAGGGACACGTTTCTCTGAAGTTCTTCTTGGACATTTTGCTGTTTATGAACTCAAATCCAGACAGAGAGAGAGAGAATCCAAAAAAGACACTTGTAAACCTTCAGTATCATGACAGAAAGCGTTGTTTGGTACAAGGAATACTGTGAGGACAAACAGCTGGGCAGGAGCGCTAGACTCTGAGCCAGGGGACAGTGGCTCCCGCCTGTCATCCCAGCCGCTCAGGAGGCTGAGATCTGAGGGTCACAGCTGATCCATGAGACCCTCATCTCCAAGAACCCAGCTGAAAACCCGAAGCGGAGCCGTGGCTCAAGTAGTGGTGCGCTAGCCTGCAGTGTGAAAACTGAAGCAGAGTGCCCGGGCCCTGAGTTCAAGCCCCTGAGCCAGCAGCACACACACATAAAAGGGGTGATACGTACTCACGCTCCCCAAGATGCCTAGTCCAATGAAGAGCAGCAGGAGGAGGAGGAGAGTCAAACCCAAAGCTGTTCTGACCCATATTTGGGAAATGATCGGCAGCCCTGTGGAATACAGAAGGGAAACACAGCGTGGAGTTCCATTCTTTCCTACAATGCCACTCATTCATTCCTTCATTCTGCCTGTCTTTCTTTCCCACTATGCGATCCAGGGGCTTCCCACCGATCTGGCTAGCCAGGTCCTTTGCCAGGCAGAAGCTCTGCACCTCAGGCAATCCCAATTCTAAGAAAATGGAAGGACTTGGGAAAAGTCTTACTAAGTGGAGTAAGCCAGATGCAAAGAAACGTAGGTCCCGTGGTTCCCTTCCTTGGTAGTAACGAGTGTACATCTAGGATACTCTCCGCAGAGGAGCAGAATGCTCACAGCTAGGTACGCAGGGCCCTGTGAGATGACGCTGAGCAAAATGAACTCCAGGCACGGACACGAGAGCTTTTCCTTTGCCGTTGTTCTCAATGGACGACGCGATTTCCTTTCTCTTTTGTGTTTTTCCCCTATGGTTTGTCCCCTGTTGTTACTGTATTAATACTGGCTCCCTGGGTATTGGATATGCGTGTATCTGAACCAGGGAAGGGAAGGGGAGCAACAAAATGGGGAGACAAAGGGCAAAGGGGAAATCTATGCAGCAGCGATACTCCCAGGACGCTATGCGGGAAATGATCTGTATAACTTGGGGGCGGAGGGATCGGGAGGGAGGGAACAATGATGGAAGGGGTAACAATTAGACAAGAAGTGCACGCACACCCTTACCATCTAACTGTGGCCCAGGACCCAGCGGCTCCCGCCTGGCTTCCCAGCTACTCAGGAGGCTGAGATCTGAGGATCAGGGTTCAAAGCCAGCCTGGGCAGCAAAGACCAGGAGCCTCTGATCTCTAATGAACCACCAGAAAAAGCCAGACGTGGGGCGGTGGCTCACGTGGTAGAGCGCCAGCCTTGACTGAAAAAGTCTAGGGAGAACTCGTGGCCTTGAGTCCAAGCCCCAGGACTGGCAAACGTGGGCGAGGATCTTTGGGGTACTATAAATCAGCACTGACTGAAAGTTACAGGGGGTACAACGATCACAGGTCTCTCTACATCCCTCTGTCCCTCTGTCTGTCCCTCTGTCTCTGTCTCTCTGTCTGTCACTCACTCAGTCTTTGTCTCTCTCTCTCCTCCTCCCTCTCTCCCTCGGTCTCTTTCTGTCCGTCTCTCTTTGTATGCCTCTGTTTCTATGTCTCTCTGTCTGTCTGTCTCTCTTGCTCTGTCCCTATCTGTCCATGTCTGTTTGTCTTTCTCTATACCTCTGTCTTTCTCTGCCTCCGTCTCTATCTCTCTATCCCTCATTGTCTGTGTCCCTGTCTCTTCCAAACTTTCCAGAATCCTCCCCTCTCCATTTTGCAGAGGGAATGAAAAACGAAATAACGAAATAAATTAGAAGATGGCTTTCCTGGACAACGTAGTGTCTCGAGCCACAGAAACGGAGCACTTGGAACCATTCCAGAACACTTTCCGGCGCCTTCACGGTCCTACTCGAAAGTAGAATCTTTATACATGATTGGCTGTTGTGTAATTTCACAACGTCATTGCTTGAAGAGAGAGGGACTTGGGGAGGTCCATTCACCGGACCCTAAGAAGTAAGACTCTGTTTTTATCACTTCGCACACGACACATTCGTAACTCAGCCTTCCTACCTCTGGTCTCCGCTTGGTCAAACTCCCGGATCGTCTCCGTCTTTCCCCAGCTCTGGTTGTTTAGATCAGCGTAAGTGATTTCTTCTTCAGACATGGAGGGACGTGGAAGACACAGGGAATGAAGGGTGCATGCGTCCCTTGCAGGAATACTAGGCTGTGGTACTGGGTGTGAATTCAGTGCCACCCACTCTTGCTGTACGTTCTTGCTCAAGGCTGGTTCTCTACCAATTGAGTCAGGCCTCCGGTCCGGGATTTAGTCGCTTAGCTAGAGGTAGGGTTTGGAAGCCTTGGGTGCCTCCCCTACCCCCACTCCCAGCTCTTGTTGGGGGTTTGTGTGTGTGTGTGTGTGTGTGCGTGCGTGTGCGTGTGCGTGTGTGTGCGTGTGTGTGCCAGTCCTGGGGCTTGAACTCAGGGCCCAGGCACTGTCCCTGAGCTCTGTCACTCAAGGCTGGCGCTCTACCACTTTGAGCCAGGGCTCCACTTCTGGGTTTCTGCTGGTTAACTGGAGATAAAAGTCTCATAGTCTTCCCAGACTGACTTTTGTCCACAATCCTCAGCTCTCAGCCTCCTGAGTAGCTGGGATGACAAGCGTGAGCCACTGGTGCCTGGCTATAGATATAATTGTATGAATGTGTTTATACGTCTATATGAACACATCCACACATGCATACGCACACATACACTCACGCATATGTGCATCTGCATATGCACAGGTGTGTGCACGTGCACACACACACACACACACACACACACACACGAGATGCATCTGGGAGCGGCGGGACGCCTAATCTGTCTTCATCGCGAAGGTCAGCGGCTGTCTGGGGCAAGTGTCTGAATGGTTCCTCCACTGACCCCTGACCTGCGTGACCCTGGGGGAGGAGGCCCTCACCTGGGTCATGGACTAATCCTTCTGTGATGTGCACAGTGCGAATGGCCACTCCTCCTGGAACCACTGGAGAAACGCAACGTGGTTAATTAATACTTGGGTAAAATAATGCTTAGGTGCTCTGTGCATCCTCTCCTTTAAATCTGGCTGACAACATTCTTACGATTACAATTGCAGATGAATTGGGATCGGATACATAAAGAGAGAGACTTGGAAAAATCGCAGGTGAGCCGGGCGCCGGTGGCTCCCGCCTGTCATCCCAGCTGCTCAGGAGGCTGAGATCTGAGGATCGGGGTTCAAAGCCAGCCCGAGCAGGAAAGTCCATGAGACTCTGATCTGCAATGAACCACGGGAAAGCCTGCAGCTCAAGCATACAGCTCATAGCCTTGAGCAAAGAGACTTTCAGGCCCTGAGTTCAAGCCCCAGGACCGACCAAAACAAAAACAACAAAACAGAACTTAGAAATAGGCCTCACACTTGTTGGGTTGTTTCGGTGTTGGGCTATTTCTAGGCGTAAGACTTGATCTCAGGACCTGGCTGCTGTCCCTGACCATTTTTTTTTGCTTAAGGCTCATGTTCTAGAACTTGAGTTGCAGCTCTGCTTCCAGCTTTTTGGAGGTTAACTGGAGAAGCAGAGACTTTTCTGCTCTGGCTGGCTTACAACCATGACCCTCAGATCTCAGCCTCCTGAGTAGCTAAAATGATAGGAATGAGCCACAGTCACCCAGTGAAGTATTCTTTCTTTTCTTTTCTTTTCTTTTTTGCCAGTCCAGGGCTTGAACTCAGGGCCCAGCACCATTCCTGAGCTTCTTGTCCTGAAGGCTGGCACTTACAAACCACTTCTGATTTTTTCTGATTACGTGGTCCAGAAGCATCGAACCCAGGGCTTCATGCATGCTAGGCAAGCACTCTACCACGAAGCCACAGTCCCAGCCCAAGGGGAATTATTCCTAAATCATTACAGGATAGTTATTCTCATCCAGGTGGCTATGCAAAGGTTATTTCAAATGAATGCGTTCTAGTAAAACATGATCATCTAACCACACTTCTGAAAAAGAGGAAATCCACCTTATACCTCACGGCCGATGCCAAAATAACCGTCACCAGAGAGAACTGAAAAGAAATTACGAAACTTCATTTTTTTTTAGAAAGAGGGAAATGACCTTCACTGAAAAGAACTACAAGGTCAAGACCTTCGCGTAGGTCAGAATGATACATTCAGAGCTGCTTTTAGGCCGGGCACCGGTAGCTGATGCCTGTAATCTCAGCCGCTCAGGGGGCTGAGATCTGAGGATCGTGATACACAGCCAGCCCGGACAGGAAGGTCCGTGAGGCTTTTTATTTCCAAGGAACCAGTGAAATGCTAGAAGTGGAGCTGTGGCTCACGTGGTAGAGCGCCAGCTTTGTGGGGAAAAAGTCAAATGAGGGTTGGCCTTGAGTTCAAACCCAGCTCTGGCAAACACAAGCGTGTCTGTGTGTGTGCGTTAACACACGCACACGCTCTCTCGCTCTCTCTCTCTCACACACACACACACACATACACACAGTTTGGATCTTTGGGATAATATACATCAGTACTGGAAAGAGCATTTCAGGTGGTAAAAATACCACATCTCTCCGCACTGTTCTGTCTGTCTCTCCCTCTGTCTGTCTCTCAGACGCTCTGTCTCTTTCTGTCCATCTCCCTTTGCAGGTCTCTGTCTCTCTGTCCACCTTTGTCTGCGTCTCTGTCTCTCTCTTCCAAACGTTCCAAAGTCTCTCCTCTTTCTCACACAAATGAAAATAGAATGACAGAATAAATTCAGCGGTGGCTTTCCTGGACAGCGTCTAACCTTGAGCCACAGAACGTTTATTAGTGGTTGGCTGCTGGCAACGTCGCAGAGCCGGTGCTTCAGAAACGTCAGACGCGGTTTGGAGAGGCTTCATCAGAAATCTGACTCGAATCTAACGCCATCCGCCGCCCGAGCCCTCGGGTGCAAGTCTCGTTTGCATCGCCCACCGTACCACACCCCACAGCCCGACGTGCGTACCTTTGGTCTCCCCTCGGTCAGGCTCCTGGGTCTTCGGGAAGTTCACAACAGCGTAAGTGGCTTCTTCAGACATGGAGGGAGGTGGGAAGCAGGTGGAATGAAATGCTGTTGTTAGGACGAGGCAGGGCTGACTGTGGACGCTGGACGGAAGGTGGACGCTGAGGCTGTGCGATCTTCAGCAGCCGCCGCCCTTCCCCAGCCGACCCTGTGAGTAACCCTGCTGAGCTGATCGGCTCCTCATCGCTGATCTCCGGCAGGACTGCGTGACTGAGCCATGAGGAAACATTTCTCTTCCCCAGACTCTCTTCCTCTTTCTTATCTCTACAATTGCCTTCTGCAGAATCTAGGTTTGTTGTGTTTCTGTTGGTTCTGGGGTTCGAATTCACTGCCACACACGCTGGCTGTACTTTCTTGCTCTAGCATGGTGCTCTACCACTTGAGTCAGGCCCCCAGTCCAGAATTTTGCTGGTTAGCTAGAGGTAGAGTTTGGAAGATTTGTCTGCCTAGGCTGGTTTTGAACTAAGGCCATCCAAGTTTCAGTCTCCTGAGTAGTTAGGATCACAGGCATGAGCCACCAGCTCCTAACTCAAAAATGAGTGCTTTTTGTTTTTGTTAGGGTTTTATTGGTTTGTGTGTGTGTATGTGTGTGTGTGTGTGTGTGTGTGTATGCTGGTCCTGGGGCTTGAACTAAGAACCTGGACACTGTCCCTGAGCTTTTGTGGCCAAAGCTAGCCCTCTACCATTTAAGCCACAGCTCCACTTCTAGCTGTTTGGTGGTTAACTGGAGGTCAGAGTCTCATGAACTTCCCTGCCCCTCTGTGCATGTGTAGTGGGACTTGAACTCAGAGCCTGGGCACTCTCCCTTAGCCTTTTTTGCTCAAGACACACACTACTACGTGAGTCACAGCACCACTTCTGACTTGCTTCTGGATAATTTAGATAAGAGTCTCCTTCCTTCCTTCCTTCCTTCCTTCCTTCCTTCCTTCCTTCCTTCCTTCCTTCCTTCCTCCCTCCCTCCCTCCCTCCCTCCCTCCTTTCTTTCTTTCTTTCTTTCTTTCTTTGTTTCTTTCTTTCTTTCTCGATGTTAGGATCTCCAATAGACAATACAGATTGTTGGATGAATTTCTTGATAAAGGTAATCATTATCTTATTCCTGAACAGAAAATACTCATTCTATTACTAGCTGCATAATGTACACTATTTAATCTTCCACAAGGATTTGTTGTCTTTTGACAAACTCTTCATATGAGAGAAGTTTCCGGCTTGATTAAAGTGTTATTTTGGCTTGGGTATCACAACTGTCATCCCAACTAATCAGGAGGCTGAGACCTGAGGATCGTGGTCTGAAGCCAGACTGGGCAGGAAAAGTCCATGAAACTCTTTTTTTCCCCCACGAGATCTTATGTCCAAAAAACTACTTAGAAAAAGCCAGATGTGGCGCTGTGGCTCAGGTGGTAGAGTGCTACTGTTGAGTAAAAGACTCTCAGGGACAATGGACAGACACTGAGTTCAAACCACGGGACCGACACGCACAACTTGTTATTATGTCTGGCTAATATTATCTTCAGCAAAAGCTCTTCCTACATCGATGGCAATGATGATTGTCCCCTCTCATGTTTTCAAAGTGTTAATGAACCTGTATCCTGAGAATAAATCCAAGCTGGTTGAAGTGTGTTTATATGCTTTCTGTATCTTGCTGGACTTAGTTTTCGACAAGGGTTTTCCATAAGGTTGAAAGCTGATCTGTGGAAAAGCAGGGAAAATACTGAACTTAAAATTATAGGGGTCAGCCAGGCCCCAATGGCTCCCACCTGACATCCTGGTTACTCAGGAGGCTGAGATCTAAGGTTCGCAAGTGGAGGCCATGCTGGACAGGAAGGTCCATGAGACCAGTTCCTCCAATGGACCACCTCAAAACCCGAAGTAGAGCTGTGGTTCAAAACGGTAGAGCGCCAGCCTTGAGTGAAAATGCTTAGGGACAGGGCCCACTCCCTGAGTTCAAGCCCTATGCCCCACACAAACCAATAAAATAGAACAGAATTCCAGATTTCGCTAGGAAAGCCTGTCTTGATGCAGAACAGATTCTGGACTGAATATTGAGTTCCAGACATAGCTTTCTTTTCCATGGGCCAGTCCTGGGGCTTGAACTCAGGGCCTAGGGGCTGTTCCTGAGCGTCTTTCGCTCAAGGCTAGTGCTCTACCACTTGAGCCACAGTTCCACTTCCAGGTTTTTGCCAGCTCATTGGAGATAAGTCTCACCGATTTTCCTGCATAGCCTGGCCTTGAACCGTGACCCTCAAATCTTAGCTCCTGAGTAGCTGGGATTACAGGAGTGAACCACTGCCCAGCAATGGATTATTTTCTCACACACAGCAAATGAGGAGCAAGAGGGAAATGGAAAGATACAAATGTTCAGAGAGGCAGAAGTCTGTTATAGTATTTTTATTCCACTCGTGGGAGGCGGGAGACACACAGGCTAGCATCGGGTCCTTCTAACTCGGGAGAGCGTCTGTTGCGGGCTGCCATCTGGAGCGTGAACACAGCACACTTTCCACCCGCACGGGACCAGCCGTTTTCTCACATATCACAAATCTCTTTCCAGTACAGGAATTAAAATAAATATACTGTCCTTCCAAATAGCCGCAGTGCATTGTGTTTAAGCCGTTCAGGTTGTTTTGAGCCCTAAAAGAGGAAAAACGGTAAACCACTTTAGACGTCAACTACTTGAGCTAGACACCCACAGAAACGCTTCTGCTACCCGACACCATGGCCCCCCAGTCCGCATGGCCTAAGGGAAACGTGGAGCTCTCTGGTTGTCCGGGGGATTTCCCTTCAGCCACGCATGTGGATCATGTTCTTTGTTCCCATTCTCACATATGGAGGTTAAATATTAGGAAGGGCGCCGTCCTGAGCATTTGTGCTACCCAGGAAACTGAGATCGGAGGACCAGGGTTCAAAGCCACCCAGTCAGGAAAGGTGGTGAGATGCTTCACTCGGATTAAATCAAGTGAAAATGTTCGCAGTGGCGCTGTGGCTCAAGTGGTCCAGAGCACGAGCCTTGAGTCAAAAAGCCCAGGAGAGCGCCTGGGCCCTGAGTTCAAGCCCTGGGACAAGCATAAAAATAAAAGAAGCCTGGAGCCGGTGGCTCACGCCTGTCATCCCAGCTACTCAGGAGGCTGAGATCTGAGGATCGCGGTTCAAAGCCAGCCCAGGCAGGAAAGTCCATGAGACTCTTATCTCCAATAAACCACCAGAAAACTGGAAGTGGCGCTGTGGCTCAAGTGGTAGAGCGCCAGCCTTGGAGCTGAAGAGCTGAGGGACAGTGCCCAGGCCCTGAGTTCAAGTCCCACAACCGACAAAAAGAAAAAAAAAGAAAAGGAAGTCTATAATTAGGCTACTGTTAGTGACTTGAGAAAATAAGCATATTTGTAAATGTGTGTGTGTGTGTGTGTGTTGGTACTGGATGTTAAACTTGGAGCCTGGACACTCTATCAGAGAGTCTGTGCTAAAGGCTGGTGCTCTACCACTTGAGCCACAGCTCCACTTGTAGCACTTTTGTGGTAGTTAATGGGAGATAAGTGTCTGGTGAACTTTTACATCAGAGCTGGCTTTGAACCACAGTCCTCAGATCTCAGCTTCCTGAGTAGCTGGGATTACAGGCGTGACCACCAGCCCCTGAGTAGGTGAACACTGTAGAAGCCTGACACAGCAGCGATGTTTAAGGGGATTTCAACCATCTACAGTTGTGCTGGGGAAACATAGCTTAAAAAATACCCAGGGCTGGGCAGGTGGCTCAGGGGTAGAGCGCTTGCCTCGCATGCCTGAGGCCCTGGGTTCGATTCCTCAGCACCACATAAGCAGAAAAAAAAAGCCAGAAGTGGCTCTGTGGCTCAGGTGGTAGAGCGCTAGCCTTGAGCGGAAGAGCTGAGGGACAGTGCCCAGGCCCAGAGTTCAGGCCCCGCGATGAATCAAAAAGAAAAGAAAGTAGACAAGACAATAAAAGAAAAATAATAGAAAACAAGAGAAACTTACCAGAGAGAGGAGTTGACAGTCTGATTCACAGTCATAGAGTATTTGCCATTTTGTCTAGGAGATGCTTCAAGCCAATAGCTGTCTGTCTCCATGGACTGTATAAACTCCTAAAAACAAAGATGCTCAATGTACAAAGTTGTCTGGCCGGGCACTGGTGGCTCGCGCCTGTCATCCCAGCTACTCAGGAGGCTGAGATCTGAGGACGGAAAGTCCCTGAGACTCTTATCTCCAGGGAACCACCCCGAAAAACACACAAGAAAAGGCAGAGGTGGAGCTGTGGCTGACACGGGGGAGGATCAGCCTTGAGCCACAAAGCTCCGGGACAGCGCCCAGGCCCTGAGTTCAAGTCCTAGGACTGACACAAAAATAGCTATCTCTATACGTACTTCCGCACATCACCAGTCAAACGATTGTTTGCAAACAGTATTTTCAAAATTGCATTACTACTCTGTGTGTGTGTGTGTGTGTGTGTGTGTGTGTGTGTGTGCTCAAGAGGTGTTCACAGCCCTGAGTTCAAGTCCCACGACTGTCACACAAAAAAGAAAGAAAGAAAGAATAAAGGAAGGAAGGAAGGAAGGAAGGAAGGAAGGAAGGAAGGAAGGAAGGAAGGAAGGAAGGAAGGAAGGGCAAAAAAGAAAGAAAGAAAAGCAATCCAGCAAAGGCAGAGCAGTGTAGTTATAAGAGGGATTTGGTTCCTATTCCTCCTAACTATATTGTGTTGAGTCAGTAACTGTCAGAGCACCGTATTAGAAAGATCCAGTGAGAAAGACAAGAACTTCCAGTCCGAGAGCTTGAACTCAGGGCCTGGGCGCTGTCCCTGAGCTCTTTTGCTCAAGGCTAACGCTCTACCCCTTTGAGTCACAGCTCTACTTCCGGTGTTCTGGTAGTTTTTAGATAGGGGTCTCATGACCTTTCCTGTCCGGGCTGGCTTTGAACCTTGATCCTCAGATCTCAGGCTCCTGAGTGGCTGGTGACAGGCGGGAGCCACCAGTGCTCAGCCACCTCTTCTTGTTCTGTGAGAGGAAATGCCATTTTCTTTCTTACTGAGAGACTCAGAGACTTACCACGCTATTCTTGTTAATACTCAACACGCTGGCGTTGCGGTCGGCGCATGACTTCACGCTGTTTTGCCACGTGTCAGGAACGCGATGTAGAAGGTAGCATGCATCTGCATGCCAGATCCAGTTCTGCGCACAGGGATTGCATGTGTGCTCTGGAAGGAAAACGCCCTTTTCTTGGTTTTATGTGGCTAGATCTTCAGCCCTCCTGCGGTTCCCTGACGTCTCTATGGGACGTGGGCCCAGGTCACTGTGTTTTCATCTGGTAATATTTAAGTTTATTTTGTGCAGTTCTGGGGCTTGAACTCAGAATCTCCTGCTCTTCCTTAGCTTTTCCACTCCAGGCTGATCCTCTACCATTGGAGCCTCAACTCCACTTCTGTATTTTTGCTGGTTCACTGGAGAGAAGAGTTTCACAGACTTTCCTGCATGGTTGGCTTTGAACCAGGATCCTCAGAACTCAGCCTCTTCAGTAGCCAGGATGACAGGCGTGAGCCACCAGTGCCCGGCTTTTACTGGCTGAAATTCTGAACTGAGGCCATCTGTAGAGAAGTGTGTTTTCCTATCTATCATTCACTGAGCTTCATAATAAATTGAGATTTTATGTAAACTTTAAAATAACAAAAAATTTAAACCATATATTGAAATTAGAGAAATTGATTTAATTATATTTTAGTAAAGCTGCAGATTAAGGAAAGTACATATCATCTGAATACTCTTGTATAACCATGATAGCTGGGTAATTGAGTGTTATGTTGTTATTATTATTTTCTGATTTTCTTCTAATTATATGGAACTGTCAACAATGCTTAATTCTTTTCTTCATCAATGAATCTAGCTGGGCAACAGTGGTGCTTGCCTGTAATCCCAGCTACTCAGGAGACTGAGATCTGAAGATTAGTGTTCAAAGCCAGCCTAAGCAGGAAATTCCGTGAGATTCTTACCTTAAATTATCAGCAATCAGCCGGAAGTAGTGCTGTGTGTGGCTCAAGTGATTGAGCTCCATGCAGCCCAGAGCAAAAAAGCCAAGGGACACAGCCCAGGCCCTGAGTTCAAGCCCCAGGATCCCAACACACACACACACACGCACACACACACACACACACACACACACGCACACACACACACGCGCGCACACACACACACACACACACACACACGCACACACACACAGTAGCTTTAGTTCCTGGTCTCATAAGCAGCCCTCAGGGTAGTACAGAATTACCTGGCTCTTTTTCCTGTAGCTCCTGACACAGCCTGGTGGCCAGGGTTTGCATGGTGATAGATTGGTTCTGGATCTTCTCGTTGAGGTTCTGGATCTTCTCATTGAGGTTCTGGATCTTCTCATTGAGGTTCTGGATCTTCTCATTGAGGTTCTGGATCTTCTCAGGACTGTTGACATTCCCCATTTGCTGTAGGGACACGTTTCTCTGAAGTTCTTCTTGGACATTTTGCTGTTTGTAAACTCAAATCCAGACAGAGAGAGAGAGAGAATCCAAAAAGACACTTGTAAACCTTCACTATCATGACCTTAAGGGTTGTTTTGCACAAGGAATACTAAAAAAGACGCAAGGGGAGCAGGAGGCGTGGCTCACGTGGTAGAACACCAACTGTGAGACCAACAGCTGGGCAGGAGCGCTAGGCTCTGAGCCAGGGGACAGTGGCTCCCGCCTGTCATCCCAGCCGCTCAGGAGGCTGAGATCTGAGGATCGCCGTTGGAAGCCAGCCGGGGCAGGACAGTCCCTGAGACCCTCACCTCCAGTGAGCCAGCAACAAGTCAGAAGTGGAGCTGTGGCTCACATGGAAGAGCTCTGGTCTGGAGTGGGAACGCAGGGGCAGCGTCCAGACTCTGAGCTCACGCCCCAGACCCAGAGCAAGGGGCGATACCTACTCAGGATCCAAAAGACTTTTAACCCAATGAGGAGCAGCAGCAGGAGGACGAGAGTCAGACGAAAAGCTGTTTTAACCCATCCATGGGAGGGCGCTGTGGAACACAGAAGAACAGGGAGTTCTCAGAACTTTCATTCATTCATTCACAGAACGGCATTCAGTCATTTCAGTCATTCAATTTGCCTTAGTTCCTTTCCTACTATGCAACCTGTCGAAGGATTTAAGTTGTTAGACACACACACACACACACACACACTAATCCTCTGATCAAGATGCATTATACTCACAAAATGAAACCCTTTGTACAACTACTTCAAGATATAATAGTTAAATAAAACAAAACAAAGCAAAAGCCA